TTCTTGAGTATATCTGATCGAGCCAAGGTTCTTTCGAGCAACCCAGACCACCACTCATGTTCGAGTGGCAAGTTGGATCACCCTGGAAGCTAGGAGGAACCTTGGGCAAGGCGTCCCAGATAGCCAAGGGATCGAGTTGCTCGAAATCATCCTCAGCAATTTGCTTGCCTGCCTTCTGAAGGGCAAACTGAAAACAGTCTACCCCGAACTCTTGAACCTCCTTCAGATACTGTGGCAACTGCACGAAATCGGCCACCGTTTGGGCGCGATATTCTTTGAGGAAGAGTTGCCCTGTGGTGGTCTCTCACATCATTTGCCGAGCTCGGAGAGCCGCCGCATCAGCGTAGCGCTTGAGTTGGTGAGCATGGGCAGCCCTTCCCTTAGTTAAAGTGGCGTCTAACTCTGCTCGAGCAGCCTCCGCTTGGGCTCGAGCAGCCTCTGCTTGTGCTCGAGCCGCTTCTAAATCTGCTCGAGTCTTTTCTGCCTCGACCCGGGCAGCTCGCTCCTGCTCGAGTGCCCTCTCTCTCTCCTTCAACGCAGCTTCCTTTTCCGCTACTGCCGCCTCCTTAGCTGCCAGGGCAGCGTCTCTTTCCGCGAGAGCCTTTGTTTTATTGTTGAGCTCTTCATCAAGGGATCGAAGCTTGACGTCGAACTCAGTCTTCTGCTCCACTTGGGAGGAGGCGGCGGAGTTTGCCGCGGGGGCGATTGCTGTGGCGGCTCTGGTCGAGATCCACCAGAGCTGGCCGACCCATCGGCCTTGTCGCTGCTCGATCCAGCGACAGTTCCCGATTTCTTTTTCAGAGAGGGATGTTGAAACTGGGCACCTTTGCGAAAAAATCACAATATAGATCATATTCGATATCAGTAATAATCACTCGGAATAAAAATGAGGAAACGCACGAGCATTCAACTAATCTGCTCGATTACTACCTGGATCATCTTCAAGTCGAATGAGATCGAGGATCTCGTTGGTGGGAGGAGGACAAGTCTTGTGGGTGAGAAGACCACAATGGTGGAGAAGGTTCTCGTCTTTGAGGAGCGTTTCTGATGCAACGGTCTTAGAATTCCAAGTATGGACCCGTTGCTCGAAAATGGGGTTCGAAGGAGGGGCAGAAACTTCCTGAGGAACCTCCTTGACCCAAAGGATGGAAGGCCAAGAGAAAGGCTCAGCAGGACGGACAAAAATAAATCGATCGATCCATTTAGGAAGATTGGAGGGAACGTCGTTGATAAAATGAGCACCATTACGACTCTTTAAGTACAGGCCTCGACCTTGTTTGGAAGGGACATAGCAGTAATGGAAGAAGGCAAGGTCGAATCGACCAAGGCGGATGTGGCAAAGAATGACGAAAGTGGTCATGAAACGAATAGCGTTAGGGGGAAGTTGATGAAGAGGAAGCCCGAACCACTCGCAGATTTGAAGTAGATCAGGACTTAGAGGGAAACGAAGACCAAGCATGAATTGGATCTCCAAGAAAGTGTAACAATCTTGTGGAGGATGGTCGAATTTATCAGAGGGAGAAGATCTGAGGAACGCCCAACCAAGAGGTTGGCCGATTTTGTCAGGATTGAACCAAGGGTGAGAAAGAGAAGTAGAAGAAGAGCGCTTGGAAAGTTTTTTGGTCGAGGATTGTTTGGGCGGAGAATTCGAAGAAGGAGGAGCAGTGGGCTGCGGAGAAATAACCTCGTCCTCCTTTGGCTCGTCTAACGCGCCAAGGGGAGGTCGACGATGGCAGAGAGGAACGTTATCCATGGTATCCCCGGAGTTTGAAGAAGCGACGCGGGCTGTAAAAACACGAGTAAGAACTGTCTCGCCGGGGAAAAGGATAGAGAGAGGGACAGCTTCGAGCGCAGAAGGTAGTATTTCAACTGAATCAGAGGAGGTCTCAGAGTCTGAAAAGAAAATCAAAACAAAGACAAAGAGAACAATATCAAAAGGAAGCCGCCGCAAGGAAGAAAGAGGAGAGAAGAAAGATTATGGTTTTTGGGGGAGAGCAATCCAAAAACCAGAAGAAGAATTCGGGAGGTATAGGGACGGAAATTTCAAAAAATTTCAGAGGAAAAGCAAAACCCTCAACATTCAATAGACAAACAAAAGTATTCCAAGCACAAGTTCAACATAAGACAAGCCAATTTGAAACAATTCAGCAGGCAGATCAAGGGCACCCAATATTGAAAATCCAAGAATACACAAAATAGAACTACAAAGAATACAAAGTCAAGCGTGAAGAGACTTACTCATAACCGTGGGTCGATAATTGACAGAATTTCGAAAGAGCGCAGGAGGAATCGTCGAGAAAGTAAGGGTTTTTTGCAGAGAGAATTCGGGGTGCAGAGTAATTCGGAAATTGTGAGGGTGGAAAAAGTTGAAAAATACGCCAAGTATGGAATTTATACTTTGGAAGATTGAAGGGTGAAAAGATAAGGGCCGTCGGATTAAAGTTAGATCCAACGGTGGGGAGTATTAATTTGCACGGAGCTCAAAACGGACGCGTTAGGCGCGGAGGCGCAATAATTAAAGCGCCTGACACATATGACAGATGTGACGCGTGGCAGAAAACGGGCGCGACAGAAAGGATTTAAAGCAGATAACTTTATTTCTAGTGATTAATGGGAAATTATTCGAAAAAATGAGCGGGAAGCTTACCAGCCGATCGGTATCTGACGATGAGCCATCCAGAAGGACGATAAATACTAATTCACTCTTGGATCGAGTCATTTAGACTCGACCAGAGTGGGGGGGACTAGATGATATGGGATATCATACCCATTAGGCTGAACCGGTCTATTGACCGGTCGAGGAGGTCGTATTATGAGGAAGTCAAGGAAATCGAGCAGTTAACCAGTCGACCAAGCAAAGCTGTCGACCAAACTATCCTTCGACCAGATACATGATCGGGCAACTTATTCGACCTCAACAGGTCAACTACTTCGAGGACTTAACACCACGTTTATCGACCTAGTCACAGGCCCGTGAGAGAGCCTCTGACGGAATTCTAGGAGAATATTTACCCCATGTGCAGGGGGACACGTGTCGAGAAGGCAGTGGTGGATAGCGATAAC